AGTGTAGAACACACCAATTGTCTTTTTTCTTTAAGGTCATATAGACTAGACTGGAATTCTATTCCATTCAAGTGGCAGAGGCACAGAAAGCTTGTTTGTACATATTATACATATAACAGTAAACAAAGCACAGAAGTTATTCCCTATATAGTATACTTTTTAGCAGAATACTGTGATAGTGAATCTTCAGATACTTCCAAAAAAAAAAAAATCTGAGGAGCAAGACAGCAACTCAGGAATGTAGCTTATACCGATACATTTATAGTTACCAAGTTTCTGCGGGAGAATCCCTATGCCAAAAGATCTCTCGCTCTTTAGTCAGTAGTACTGTTCATACCTACTGATGCCGTACTTGACAGAAAGAATAACACAATTCCTGTCAGCACAAAGCATCTAAGTTAATTTGGATGTTCTGAGAAGGGATTGAAGAAATTTTATATAAGCAGGTTAAGATAAAGTCGCAGTCTGAGAGGTAGATAATTGACAATAAAGATAAATACCATCCTATCTTGGGCAAAAAGAGCTTCAAAACCCAAATACCTTAGAAGTCTTGTAAGCCAAAGAAATTCAAACAATTAAAAGCTGAAAAAAGATAATATACAAGGTCTCAGCTCAGTGGTTTATTACAGCATAAGAAGTCTGTCAGAGACACAGACAGACATACGTAGATTTCAAATGTGACTAAGCTATCAGACTACTTACTCACTAGATGCTTCATTTATACTTCTACGAAGATATATTTGGAAGTTAGTAAAACTCAAGTAGAACACCAAATGACTGAATCCTGACAATTCTTAGTATGAAGATGACAAATCTCAAGTGTAGGCAGCATTGTAATTCGTTGCATGCTCACCTGCTGGCAGCAGAGACTTCTTTTGTTTTCTTTCCCTCCACAGAAGCCAAATGCTGTTCCAGTGCTTCAAGCAAGCTGCTGGGTGCCTAAAGTCAAATGTATTTATAAAACACTGCTTCTAGACAACACATCATTGTTTAGTACACAGATTAGCTTCCTCACCGACTAAAACCAAATAGAAACCCACACATCAATAATTGTGCCTTTGGGTTTTGCTGCCATCCTGCACACCTGGATTCTATCTACCCACTTGTGGTTCTTTAAAAGGAATGGCACCACAGAGACATGAAACAAGGATTCCCCCAGAGCAGGTCATTCTTGGTTTTGGCAACATATTTGCTATGTTAAGATGAATCCAATAATCACAGCTGATTAAGCAGTATTCCATTAAACTCGCAGAAATACCAAAATGAAGCCTTTACAGTTTTGATCCCCTTTCCCCTGTAACAGCGAAAAGCCAATCGCTTTCCATTCAAATGTTTACAGTCAAAAGGCTTGCATTAGAAACTCTTGACTACAGCAGAATGTTAAGTTTGATTAAAAAAGGCAATCAAATTCAACCTGATCCCAACAACACTATTGCAGACTGAGTAGCATTCAACACATGACTACACAATAAACAAACTCAATTACTCCAAAGCCTTTGGTAGCCTAAAACACTAGAAACCAACAACATCACTTCAAATAAAGTTGTTTTCTGGCAGATGCCCCTGCCCCCCCCCCCCCCACTCACACACCC